ACTGGCATATTTTCTCTTGTGGATCGATGTACAGTGCGTGACAATGCTTCCATAGTGGTGGTGGTGGTGGTGGTGGTGGTGGTGGTGGTGGTGGGAGCATACTGCACTGCAGGGCATTACAGCACTGGCATACTATTATTTTCTCTTGCAGACGTGCCATGCACAACAATGCTTCTAGTTCTATAGTGGTGGTCACGGTGTGGTGGTGGTGGTCATGGTGGTGGTGGTGGTGGTCATAGTGGTGGTGGTGCTGCTGCTGCTGCTGCCGGTGGTGGCGGCGGTGGTAGTTGCGGTGGTGGGAGCATTCTGCACTGCAGGGCATTAAAGCAAGCTCGATTGTGCATGCATGGTGGCGGTGGGAAAGAGGTGCCAAGGAAAGTGTGTACATATTTTCAAAGAAAGCTGGTTGCTTCCTCTATTTCCATGATCGGCCAGTGCCTGCAGCACGAACAGTACATTGTATTACATGTATGTGCATAGACAGACAAACAAACACTAACCTGAGCATGGGTACCGCTTGTATTCGTGGTCAGGAAAGTGAAAGTACGAACGAAGGAGAAGATTGTTGACCATGGCGAACAACTGCATATCCAGAGGGCACACGGCTTGCCAGAATGGGTCGGCTACATCTTCGCTAATTTTCTATCCTAACAACATTCAGCTTCGAGGTCAAGGACGACGGCATTTTTGGAAGGAAAATTTCGAATTTTGGAGAAGAAGCTTGCTTTCCGAAAAATGTTCCTTCCACGCAGGCAGCATGCCAGGTCACTGGTCAGGCGTGTGAACCAGGTGAACTGTGTCGGCAGATCGACGTTTACGTTCCAGGCCGACAGTTTTTTGACCAAGCTAGCCGTGAATCGAGGTATATTATGCTCGGCAGGCCGCGAAAGAGAGCCCGTTACCTGGACCCCTACTCGCGCGGGTAGAGCGAAACTGAGCACCCTGGGATGCGAGCAGCTTTTTAGTACTCCCGGGTCCAAAATCTCACCACCAGGCCGGGATGATCAAAACGTCTGCCGGGTCTGCAGCCTACAAACGTGGATCTGCCGACACTGTGCTGTCGACGACATGTCCGGCAAGGCACCTCCTTGCGTGAAAGCAGGGAGTCGACTCCCTGCGTGAAAGCAAGGAACGCTTTTTTTTTAGAAAGGAAGCTTCTTCTCCAAAATTTAAAATTTTTGAAAATTATTCCTTCTGAAAATATCATCGCGTTCTTGACCTCGAAGCTGACTGCTGAATGCGATTAGGAAAGAAGATTCCTGAAGATACACCAGACTGATTCTGGCAAGCCGTCTGTCGTCTAGATATGCAGTTGTTCGTCATGCATGGTCAGCAATCTTCCTCGTTCGTCCTTTCGTTTTCCTGACCACGATGATGACAAGCAGCTCTCATGCTCAGGTTAGTGCTGTACTTGTATGTCTGGGCACACAACACATCTGAGATTCACCCACTGACGTTATCGAACTGAAGAATGCAGCAAGGGTTCCTCGGATTCTCTTGATTTCGGAACAAATTTCCTTCACTTTCTCCCTCTCAGTCTCTTCCCCATGCCCTCCATCCATGCATTCAAAATCGAGTTTGCATTTCAAATGTTGTTTTTACTTTGGCAGTGCGTTCGATAACGTTAGGACAGTCTAAGTTAGGTGTTCTTCTCTTCAGGCTTATTGGACGTGTACAAATTCTAAAAAAATAGCTTCCATATGCTAAACGCAGATCCCTGTGAATACGGTTCTGCTGGGCAATGATGTTTACACCAATCTACACTCTATGCTGTCACAGCATCCACAACTGATCCTCTCTCTCTGAATTAACTATTTGATAAAGCCAATCTTTAAATCGCTGTTGCATAGGATCTCGGGTGGGAAGAAGCGATGAATCGATACATGGCATTGTGAAGAAAAGAAGAACAAATTCACATTGCACGTGAGACTCGGTTAGAAAGACTGAGTTTCTGCATTCATGAGAATGTCACACCCCGGGGATCATGATAAAGAAAACATATGTCGTGAAAATGACTGAAAGAACCAAAGAAGTATTTGATCTTCCAGCCAGCTTAGCCTGGTACTACCATACTAGCAGTGCTACCAAGTACCAGCCCTCCATATTTTCTGTATTTGTACGGAAAATCACTCCTTGTGCGCACTACAGAAATTGAGCAAATGGTATAGAAAATCGGAGAGGATCAATCAGCTGTGTAGAAGCACTGCAAGTGTAAGCTGAGTGATGAATAGTCTTGTACCACAGCGAGTGCATGCCGTACCACAACAACATGTACATGTAGCACAAAAATAATAATGTCGTGAGTGCAAGTCACACATGTTTTACACTACCAAATGCAGCCACCGACATGCATGTGCGTGTCAAAAAACATTACAGTGCAAGTATGCATGCAATGTACACGGCAGTACGCAAAACACTGCAAGATACGGAAAATCAGAAGTCTGAGTACGCAAAACAGACTCAATTGGTGGGCAGCTCTGTACTGGCCTGTACGGAGGGAGTGAATCTCAATGTGTGCAATGCACGCACTTTGGCCGACAGTGAAAACTATGCAAGTCGTGTTGGTTTGCAGGATGAATGTGAGTCCTTTTAGACAAGCGCCTTAGTGGAGTAGCCCACCGAAAGAAGAGTACTTGACACCGCGAAGTGGAGTCTGCGCATACAACAGTGAGGGGGTAAAATTAGCTATGACTGATTCTGCATGTGTTCTGCATGTGTGTCACATTACACTAGCAGATAGGCACACCTGTTGTTCCAAAAAGATGCTTATGTCAGTGTCTGAATATGTCGTGTACCAGGTAATACTGTTGCCAGGATCTCACGGTGAGAGTCAGACTTGAATATGGTATCAATAGATTATCAATATCATACATCACCATGTACCACCCAAAGTATAATAGCCGAAGGACCCGTTTGTGTGGTGGTGTATGATTTCGTGAGCAAGATGAAGTGGCTACAGATGTGTCTTATATAACACCCTAAGAAAAGATCATCAATTCTGGGGAAAGTGATTCTGGTAGCATGTTGTATCCAGTGTGGCATGACAAAGACTCCCTCGATTTAGCCTGTGGAGAATCCGTAAATACATAAATACAATACATACAGGCATCACAACCTTCGGATTATATGCTCTTTTGCTTGCCTCCTGGAGTATGGTTGTACCTTGGTTCACTGTATTAGAATAATAGTAGACTTTGTTTTTCGAATTCGTTTCTATAACATTAGGTTTCTTTCTGTTGCTGCTATGTCTTTTCATGTGTTTTACAGGATTGCCATCTGTTGATGAATACCACTCTGAGGCACTCTCACGAGCGAAGGTGTTTGAGAATCCATGTCGGAATGATGGTCATGTTGGCCTAAAGGTGCATTACATTGCCGATACTCGCCACCTCCACCCTGGAACATGTTCAATTTCTGTTTCTCGTATGGAAGGACCGAACAGGTTGTTTTCCTGTCTCAGTGGACCACTCAAGACTGAACAGCACTGATGGAAGAAGATTTGCCGTGAATCTCGTTCACATAATCAGCCTGTTTAATTGCTGTACTGAGGTGACTGCTTCATAACAATGACCATGCAGCATTAATTTTGGATAGTATTGCAGTGCCCCTAAAATTGGAGAATATCGAATTTCTCTGATAGCATTGTGATTCATTTGTGAATAAACATCACTACTCTTTTTGAGTAGCATAGCAATGACAGAGTTGGTTTAATGTATGACAAAATGGAGCCGCTTTTTAACTTAACCCTGTACTATAATCAGTACCGCCGGAAGCAGTTTTTGATTGGTCCGGTAGTTTCATGGCGGATACACACGTCCTCCACGGTAGGAAACGTTTGTTGGTGGCCAACAAGTTGGTCTGGTGATAACCTGACCAGCCAGACCGGCGGGCCTGATAATTGTGGGGCTCATGAGCAGCTCAAGTACTTAGTATGGTTTTGGACATGTCCCCAGTTAACCAATGAGAATAACCGGAAAACAAGGGGGGCTTTAGATACCGGGCTGACTTAACAAGAGGCAGGATAAGCGCGTTACGGGTTGAGCTTGTCGAAAACCAATTGTACTTCATTATGTGTGAAGGGGTTTTATGAAGAAATATTTTATGAACCAGTGTACAGAGATGGTGCTTATGACGAAAGGAGAGAGGAGAAGTGTGTGAAAGTCGATAAAGGGCATCCGAAGGAACACATCGATCCTTGTTGTAAAGAATATTAAGTATAAATCTATGGTTGAAACCTACTTCCCCAAGCGTTCTCTGTTAAGTATAAATCTATGGTTGAACCCGACTTCCCCAAGCGTTCTCTGAGGGGACCGAGGTCTACTCTATCAGTTCATGTATTCTGTGAAGTGACATGACCATTCGTGGGGACCTTGCTCATAACTGCAAAAGTCCTCGTCTGATTTTTCCGCCACCAAGCTCTGGGTTCATTGGCTGAAAATATTCTTCGGCACAGTAAAGTCGTGCGCCCAAGAACGTGGAAGCCTACAGAACATCCAACCTGGAATACTAAGAACACCACAGCCCAAAATTAAGAATTGCGGTGTAGGTTTGAGCTGTTGTCAAACACCGGGATTGTTATGTTGCACATGTATCTGAGCTTTACCACTACATACACGTCTGTCTTTACACAATAACCAATCTGCAGACAGCATGCTGTTTCGTCCTTTAGTTACTAATGGACTCATCAATGCAGCACAGAGAAAATGAGGCAGGTGAATGTCCTAGGCTAGAGAGCATCAAATACAGGTATAGAATCATGCCTTGCAGATCTCGTTACGGCCCCTTCGATGCATGTCTGAACATTAGATGGCTGTGTAGCTTCAGTTATCTCAGAATATGTACTATTTATCCAGCAGCAACAACGTTGGTCACACAACTATTCACTATAATGAGTATGCGTTGGAACACTTTACCCCGAGTCATACTATAGCAGTGTATGCCATGCATGGGTTTACCTCACACACTGAATTTCATAATTTGACATCCAAATCACAGAAGAGTGGTGTTCCAAACTTTACGTAATTGCACTCCATGTCCTGCGAGCTACAGTAGAATACTTCAATAGAAAATTTCTTATAGCACGTTCTTAGAAACAAATCGTATAGGTTCGAGGCTGTCAACCCAGAAATTTGTGATTTCACAGCCATAGATGTTACCAGTCAGGTCACTGTATACAGTAGGTATGCAGAAGAAAATACTAGTAACTCTTTGTGGAAGAGCTGTGCCAAAATGTGTACAGTACAGTAAATTAATAAAAAATGAGAAAAGCAGTGACAAGGCTGTGCATGATGTAGATCTACTCGTACCAGTAAGTACAGTGCACCAGTGAAATTGTTGGTGTAGTACCGGTATACTACTATAATTATGGCATGGCCCATGCCACTACAATCTATTTGCAGTGGGCCGCAGTAGGCCAGTGCAACAGAAAGCATTTCAGAAGCTGTGTGCAATGTTAACATCTATGACATACAAGTAAACTGCCATATAGCACAATCGATTACTCTCAGCCCACATAAGTACAATGTAGGCCAATCAGTAGTATAAATACATAGAGCACACTCTACATCATACATAGTCGGCGCCAAATCTATGTTGTCGATGTACTTTGCAATGATGACATGATGGCAAGCGTGCTTGATTCATCATAATATTGCCTTGTACTTGGTTGGAAGTTAGTTGTAAGTTCAGTGGTCGAGGTAAGCAGAGCTGCTCCAGCTTTCAGAATCCTGCATGAAAAAGGCAGAAAGCAAATGTAGGTATAATAGTAGCAAGCTGATGTAAAGAGCCTGTCTTTCAATGCAATAATTCTATCCACTGCATGGACAGACCTGGTGCTTCATTCACCTCTGTTTCTTGCTTTCTCAGAAAACCTACTTCCTCCTTCAGCCATCTAGCTCATGATATACATTAATTTTTCTTTATGCCTTTTCAGCCGTGGTCGACTTTCGCCCCTCCTGTTTGATTGGCAATTCCAGTCAACCTGGGGAATACTGACCCTCGATTGTGAATGAGAAAAGTGTCGCTATTCGCATTGTTGTTACTCGTGAGGTTGGAAGTATGCAATCAAATGTTCACTAGATCTGAAGATTGTGTCGTTATTTGCGAGTTGTTTTGTAAACCCGAGGTAGATTATTCACAAGGTTGAGTGTACATGCTATGGGATGTACAATAACTAACCAAACAATAATGGTGTAACAATGATTTGAGTCCATATCCAATTGGATGAACCTAGAGTGCATGATCCATTCCAGAAAGGCGACTTCAGTGAGTCTTGAATTGTCAGCAGCATCATACTTCCATCGAGCTTTTTTTCTTTTTCGAAACGACCCTCTCTTTTCAATTCGAACGAAGGTCAACATACGATTATGGCAGGCATGCACGCACTGATCTTCACTGTATACATGTGCATGTATACTGTACTGTAGTCTGTGCAGTCAACTAGTCGTGTTCCACTTGGCTTACGGTAAGTATCACTACAAGTGCATAGTAGCCCCCCCCCCCCACCCCGGGGAGTGCGCGTGAACGGCAACTGTGAACTGGTAAAAGAATTATTCGACACCTTCGTTCGTTTCGATGGAGAAGGTTCATCTGGCAAATTGAGGCCTTCGTTTCACTCCTAGCCCCAGGAGCGAAATTTTCACTCCTTGGCTGCCTGTTTGAGCCGTCCTTGTGGAAGGGTTGATTTATGCATGCCCGCATATACATGTAGACCTTATTCAATAAACGTCACAATCACGTGAACCAGGGTCCCGGGAACCAGGGAGCGGCAAGAGACCTGCACTCAGTGCACAGTGGACTCGGCGTGGGAACATAGGAGTAGAAAAATACCGGTATTTTACTACTCCCTTGTACGAACTGGGCCTTTCTTGCCACTCGTTTCACGTACGCGTGCCCCAGCTTACAACAAATCCCTGGAGGCGAGTCCAAAAATCACGTTATCGAATAAGGTCTATAGAAACACAGATCACGTAGAACTACCCCATCCGGGGTCACAACTCACAACGTTTTGGGTACTTACACTGTAGGTCTCATGTCGTCTCCCCAGGTGCTATGAATCCCTGATGCACATGTATCTACATATACAATGTAACCGTGACTCTACCAATATTGCGGACGATGACCCCCCCCCCCCGGCAAACAGAAAGTCGCTATGTCCTGGCCGAGTTTATCTTTTAATTAAATGGTTTTCTCGGTTGGGATTTCATACCTGACAACCATCCCGATTTGGCCGGGACCGTCCCGATATCAAGGGCGGTAATAGGCACCCAAAAGTGCACTAGTTCCATGCCTCACCGCGAGCTTCTTTTGTATACATTTTCATGCCTAGGTATATCATTGGATCTCAGGTTTGCAAAGGTTGGCAGGTATGGGATTTGTAGAGTGACCAGTTTTGACTATTGCCACCTGCTGTGCAGAAGTGTCATTCCTACATCCTGGCTGCAAACGTACCCCCCCCCCCCACACACACACCACCACCAACAATGTTGGATCCTATTTACAGGACCTCACTCTATATGAAAGTGTAGCAGAGGCACTGCCAAAGTATAAAAAACAGCAATTGAAATGCAAGCTGCATTGTGCATGCATGGAGGGCATGGGGAAGAGACTGAGAGGGTGAAAGTGATGGAAATTTGTTCCGAAATCAAGAGAATCCGAGGAACCCTTGCTGCATTCTTCAGTTCGATAACGTCAGTGGGTGAATCTCAGATGTGTTGTGTGCCCAGACATACAAGTACAGCACTAACCTGAGCATGAGAGCTGCTTGTCATCATCGTGGTCAGGAAAACGAAAGGACGAACGAGGAAGATTGCTGGCCATGCATGACGAACAACTGCATATCTAGACGACAGACGGCTTGCCAGAATCAGTCTGGTGTATCTTCAGGAATTTTCTTTCCTAATCGCATTCAGCAGTCAGCTTCGAGGTCAAGAACGCGATGATATTTTCAGAAGGAATAATTTTCAAAAATTTTAAATTTTGGAGAAGAAGCTTCCTTTCTAAAAAAAAAGCCTTCCTTGCTTTCACGCAAGGAGGTGCCTTGCCGGACATGTCGTCGACAGCACAGTGTCGGCAGATCCACGTTTGTAGGCTGCAGACCCGGCAGACGTTTTGATCATCCCGGCCTGGTGGTGAGATTTTGGACCCGAGAGTACTAAAAAGCTGCTCGCATCCCAGGGTGCTCAGTTTCGCTCTACCCGCGCGATTAAGTGTCCAGGTAACGGGCTCTCTTTCGCGGCCTGCCGAGCATAATATACCTCTTAGGCGAGGTATACTATGGCACCGCAGGCCGCGCACCTGAGGGCCTTTCTGGAAGCCTTAGGCGAGGTATACTTTGGCACCGCAGGCCGCGCACCTGAGGGCCTTTCTTTATTATTTTTTTTTTTTGAACTCAAACCATGCCTCTTGTACGGGCAAAACATAAAATAAAGACAATCTAAGGCTGCATTCGATTGTAGAAACTGGATCCCGATCCCCGCTGACCAGATCACTTCGATCGGACGGATACAATCGAATGCGCACAACCGATAATCCGTTTCAAGGCCTTAGCAACCGTGTTGTTACAGCTCATCCCGTAGTATCTGTACGCGTTGTGGTAAACTCTTGACCTAGTGTACGCATATTGCGAGTTCTGAGTAGATACCAGTCGTACTATCGAAATGAATCCGTCGAATCCGTCGAATCCGTCTCTGGGAGGTGGGTTGACTGGATCCGAATCCGTGCTCCCGGGATCCGGATTCGTACAATCGAACATGCACAAATTTGGCGAATCCGGATCCGGGGCTGATGGATTCGTACAATCGAACATGCCCAATGATTAGATCGAGCGCACGCGGTGATGATCATGTACAATGTCATTAATGACACTTGACAGATAATAATGTAAGCCTCAAGCTGAGATTCTTGCTTCAGCAACAACAAGCGCTGCCGAGTCTGAGGCCATTGCTGGTAAGAATGCCTTGCGTGCACCACGCAAGCACATCAGCGCTGAACGGACCAGTGCAAAGCCAATCTGGCAGCGGATGGCAGCTAGGGTGATGCTGTATGGCTCCCCAGTCTTGGCAGCGAGGAGAGAGGCGATGCGTTTGTAGAGCGAAGCACCATGCTTTCCCATGCCTCCGGTGGTAGAGAAGATGGCGGGGACAAAGCTGGAATGCTCCACCTCCCTCAGGCGCTGCTCATACGCACGACGCTTAGCCTTTTCATGACGGACATTATTATTATTATTATACGCATTCCCGCGTTGAAGTGTAGCAGCAGTATGCTGCGTCCACAGCTTCGCTTATGCAGAATGGCTTGGGTGAGAGGAGAGGGGAGAAAAAGCAACAAGGCAACCAACATCTATGAAATTGGTCACAATAACATGAAGAGAACCAACCTACATATGCATGATTGCACAAGAATGGAGACGACCAAATATAATGGCTATAATCATTGTGCCACAAAACCGGTACACAGGAGATCTGACGACAATGTAACGAAACATAAAACTCAGTTACTCAATACAGGTTCCACTAAATTACAAGAAAACAACGCTACAACGTTAGAATTGCCGCTAAATTATCGCAAGTGTAGAGAACGAGTCCAATAAAAAATGAAAACCATGAACAGACTGTCCCGAAGTTATTTTGGGAACAAATTGTACTACATGACTGTACTTGCTGATACTGACGCTGACGGAACACGAATTAGAGTTGAATATTCACGAAGTCTTGTACATGCACATCATTATGCGCCGGTGTTGTGGAGTAAGCAGGTACGTCAGTCACCAATCCAGCTTCAGCTCCACGCTCGCTTCAGCAGAATGTTGCCCGCGTTTGCATGACGGACATAGGTAGCAGCAAGTGAGTTGGAACGGTTCGAAGACGCATGGGGGTTGAATACCCGTACATCAATGTAGGTGCGTTCGAACCGTCCTCCCCAAATGCCACTAGCCACGACGTCTAGGCGTGCCTGGTCGTCAGCAATAGCAGTGCGATAACGGAGTTGCTCTCCGGAGAGTGGCTGGAGGTGTGGCTCAACTGCCACCTGATGGGCCACCCGCCTGAGCAGACGAGCAGTGAGGTCCCTCACCTCGTTGTGACGAATGGACGGAAATCCACCCGTCGGACACGAGAGGGAGTGAGACACAGTGAACTGCTGCCCACACGCACACAGTGATGGTAGCCGGACCGGCAGCCAGTTGAAGCGAAGGCAAACAGCATCCCGAAACTCCGACTTCGTCAGGGTGAAGCCATGGCGTTGAAGGGGTCGGCACGTGAGCCAGCTTGAGGCACCCGGTTCCGAAGCCAGAGCGATCACTCGCTGCAGCTCTGAACTGGCGGAGGAAGAGAAGGCCTGGGCTGCTGCGCGAATTGACTCCCCGGCTGTCGCCATCACGCGCTTCTTGGCAGCGCGAACATCATGGATGGCAGCGCCAAGAACTGGATCTTGGGCGAGAACACGGCAGGTGAAGGAGGCAGTGATGTCAAGGGAGGACTGGTGCTGTTCGGCCCGGGACGACGGATGAGGTATGCCAAGGCCTCCAAAGCGACATAGCAATGCTATCAGGGTGCGCTCCTCAGCATTGACGGGGCGACCTAGGAGAGCAGGAATGAAGGTGTTGGTGATAGCAGCATCAAGCGGAGCTAGGTGCTCAGCCATACCAGGTTGTGCCCTACAGAGAAAAGTCCATTTGCTCTGCAGGCCGTACACATATGCTGAGTAGGCTGCTTGCGGCTCAGTGATAGCATACTGGCTAAGGCGGTGAACTTGTGTGCTCCACTCCTCAACCTTCTGCTGCAGGTAGCTGGTGACAAAGGCTGGCGTGCCGATTGCAGCGCCGAGGTATCTTGCACCATCGGGTTGGATGGTGACACCTGTGCCGTCGAAAATACGGACAGCCTCATCGAGGAACTGAGGTTTCACAACCAGGATGGATTTGGACGGGTTGGGAAAGTATCCGTACTGGGGGCCCTTTCAGACTAGCCGATCCCACCACTTGCGCACCCGCAGCAGCTTGCCACCCGACCCAGCGTCGTCAGCATACCAGGACTGTACCGCACCTTCAGTTGCCACAGACTTCATCAGCGGGGCGATGCCAATAGCGTACATGGCCATTGCCACAGGGTCGCCTTGAGTTGTACCTTCCTCCGATAGGATCGTTTCACCACCAACAAATAGTTTTGCGGGCCGACGGTATGTGTTGACAACCAGATGGGCGAGAGACGGACACGTGTGCTGCACATTCCTAAGGCAAACTTCGCGGTTCAGGCAATTGAACGCATTGGATGCGTCGGCAAGCAAAAGACACTCTGTGGACGGATCATCAAACACACTCCCCATCGCATGGATGGCAGCTTCGATACCTCCGTCCTGGCCTGCACATAACTGAAGGCTTCCTGCAGCCTCCATGATTTCAGGGCGGATGACAGAGAGGATGGCCTTGCCCAGGATTCGGCGGAGAACCTCCCCAATGCCGATCGGTCTGACACCTGGGCTCTTGTCCAGAGGAATTAATCTGCAGGACGTGTAAGCTTCTAGTGCGGTAGGATCGACATACGTAGTTGCGAGGCGGCGCGCACATTGAGCCATAGCATCGCATAGCTGGTCAGATGCATCGGAGAAGCCGGTGCACATATGGCGCCACGTGTCCGCGTTCACTCCCGATGGGCCAGCACCTCCCTGCGTGTGTAGTGCGGCACGTCGGATGGAGGCTCTATTAAGAGCTTCGAACTGCACAGGATGAGGTGGTATGGGCGCTTGCCCGGGAATCAGTGCATCTGGGTTTGCTGGCTGGTCGATAGGGTGCTTGCTCTTGAGCACGTCACGAACAGTGCTGTCACCCACTCTGTCGTCCAGTTCCAATACACCGCCA